GTGACTTGGAGGCCCTTCAAAGCTGTATGTGTCGATTCCACATTGAAATGGAACGCGCTGAAACGTGTATCCACAGCCACTTCTCTCCTTGTCCTTCAACTGACGGAACAGCTTCTGGATCAAGTTACAATTGTGGATGAGTAGAAGTTTTTGCTCGGGAGCCTGAACGTACAGAATCGTGGGCACGGACTCAATTGCTACATCCGATGAAAGTTTCATTGTCTTGTGGGGAGATTGCAGGGTTAGAACGTTAACTTCGATGCTACACCATTAAGCCAATTTAGAAATTCCATTTTAATGCTTTAAGATAAGACTAAATTTCAACCAATCAATAGTTTGGCGCGCAATTTGAACCAGCCAATGGCGATAATCAGTGAAGGAACAGAATCGGTGGCAGAGATTGAATTGCTGCGTCCACGTGGCCAAACAATAACTGTGGAGACGCCACTTAGGATTTCGACATCGTGTACACAATTCCTTTCGACAGCGCCATCCGTGTTAATCCGCCTTGACCCATCAGGTCAAGCTCATTCTTGACCTGTATAAATGAGCACATTCTGACATACCACTAGGCCATTACCTTTTCTTTGTCCTGTACCGGGGCACCGGTTACCTGAGCGTGTGATTTTGTTTCCGGGCAAAACGTTTCCAAACTCATTCAACACAGTTTGGAAAATTTTGGGTAATCGAAAAGGCATCACCATGACAACACCAGACCACAACAAACACTTCACAAAGCTGAGTCAAAATGAGAAATTCTCCAACATCGCCCTACGTATTCCGTTGACCTTGCCTCCTGAGATTCTTATTTGTTTACTTGTCTGCAATCAATTTTTACACAAACAGGACGTAAAATTTGTCTTGTTACCTCCGCATAACCCCTTGTTTTACTAAACTGGTTTTGATCGAACTCTATTCAAATTCTCCAATGGTGGCGAGTGATTGTATTTGCTGTTACATTTACAGTTTACTTCATATATTGCCGTAATATTTATCGTTAGGGATAATCATTATTAAACATCTACAGTTTTTGCAGGTGCTAATTGCCTGCCAAACATCTCCACTGAAGTCGTGCAAAACCGAAGTCGTTTTTGGCGAGGTTGTCCAGATTTTCCCAAAGCCTTACGATGTCCGCTCTGTGTATTCCTTCAGCAGTCGCGGTAACTGACTGGTGTCTTCCTATCAATCACTGACGTTGTAACTGGCTTCATCCGCTCAAAGAGAAGCCATAAACTGATGTGAGTTTTTGTGCGGTAAAATCTGGCAAATTTTCCTCGAAATGGTTGCATAATTAGACCTGGCTAAATCCGCAGTACGTAAAAGGGGTTTGCAAATTAAGATGACATTACCCTGAGTGTCGGAAAGAGAGAATTATGTCAAGATTTGACAAAGCCTTGGTTGTAAAAAAAACTTGCAAAGTCATTAGTTTTACACTTTGTTTTGCAGAAAAAAAATGTTTTTTTTTTTGCTTTCCCCATTTAGCATGAAAAAAAGGTCCAACAATTATGCTTCATTAAGTGGAAATGCCTATTTCCTATGACGGACAAACGTCAACGCATTATTACGCATTATTTAGATAGAATTAATTTGGATTGGCGCCTTCTCTGGGCTATTTGCTTGCCAATTGGGATTGGCGCCAAAAGGAAAGCCCAAATAATGCATCTTTTTGGTTGAAATCGATCATAGACTAACCAATCAAATTAAATACGAGTAAGAAGGTTAAATTTTGAACTTCTAAAGGTTCTGGAGAAAGTAATAGTTGATAAAAGGTTTATTTAAATCTTTCAAAAAATATTTACACTTGAAACCTGCACTAAGATAAATTAGAATTTTGATAGGCTCTAGAAGTTTGAACTCGAAGTACACGATAAGAAATTTCCAACCAATAATCGTTCGGCTACATGGTTATTTGTGTTGCTATTGGCTGTTAATGGCGAAAGAAGTCAGTCAGGTATTGGTTGAAAAGTTAAGCAAAGCTTAGCCACTGGTAAATTAGCACAGATCAAAACGAGTGCAAAGTGATTTGATAAAGTAAATAGTTATGCTTGAAATATCGGGTTTATGCAAGATAAGTAGTGATCCTGCCTTACTTCCAGGCACCTGATTGGAGAATGCATGAAAAGAGGTTTTCCACCAATAATATCAAGGAAACAATTCATCTAAGTTTTGATTGATTATTACTTGCCAATCGAGCATCGACTGAACAGTAAAGCAAAGCTTTCTGACTACCTGATGAGATCACCATCCCGACCAAAGCAAGGCTTTCCGAGGAAACAGCCTGATAGGCCTTTTTTGAAAATGTTAACATCCGATCCGGTACGCAAATGTATCTTAAAGTTTGCCGAGCAATTATCGAGAAATACCAGATGATTTAGTTTGTTCGTATTGGCTTAAGAGCTATTAGGCTACAGAACTACGCCTAGAATCCTCGCAAGAATGCGTTTGAGGCTACGAATAACGCCACTGCTCCTAAACCAATACTCGCATTTAGCAAGTCAACTCTCGCAGAAGATACCTTAGAACTTGTTGTAATGGATCGAAGTGACTAATTCATGCGCCACGGGAATCCCGATTGGCTGATTAAGAAGCGCAAATTATGAAAATTGAATGGTAATTGGTTAACAAAATGCCCAAATTCCAGTCATTAATTTATTGTAAGGGTGGGCACTCATGAAAAAAGCAACATGAACAACGCGGGAGATTGTCATTTCGAAATAATCGCCGGTGTCCACTAATTATGCCTGAAGTGATCAATCAAATGTGATTTCTCTGGGCAAATGAGAACTACCATGATCACGTCTCATTAGTCGAGCAGGCTTGTGTTCTCCAGTTCAAGACAGATTGGATTTTGCCAACGGACTCAAGGAACTCCTTCCATCGAACGTCAATGCACTTTCAGGGACTACTAAGGCAGGCATTGAATGATTTCGTTCTATTTGCGAACTTACGAAATCCGGTCCACATTGACTTATTTCCAGGTCTGGTCAACTCACTAGAAAGTCCGTTCTGTTAGAAACGACGGTTTTCCCAGCAGGGAAGAAATAAGCACATCCACATCGGACAACACATCTCCCAGTCAAGTCTGTGTGTGTGTTCTATGGGTATCCGTCAACAATTGGCACGTAGAGTTGGCATGTAGTTGGGAAAAGCTCCACATTGCTTCATTTGATAAAAATTATTTTTGTGGAAATCTTCGACTTCCCAGTACACATACCACGGCAGACTGAAAAAAAGCAAAATACAACGAGTTTAAACAACCCACAAACATCCAGATTCAATGACCTTGTGTACATCTTGTGGAGTTTCCTCACGACAGTTGGTGACGTAGCTTTATTGTCTAGAGTCCCATTTCACCAGATTTTGGCATCTACAAAGGCGTGCACATTTTACACCGTTTGGTGAATGTCCAAATTTTTGGATTATAAACCAACATTTTTTTTCAAAAAAAAACATTACTGGGTCAACGATTTCATATGCCCATTCCAATGACTTTATGTCTGGTTCGAATTCTATCACACTAAACCTATTGCTGATCTTTGAGCGGGTCTAAAGCTAGAACACTGTCCGAGTTGTATGCAATAATACTACTTTTGGCAAATAAGTAGTGCTACTACCTTCAGCGACACCCACGAAGAGGTAAAGTGCCCACTGCCACTACAACATAGGTGAACTTGCTATTTGAACACAGACTGCTCGCCTGCGTCACTTTAAACATTTTCTGTCCATTTTAATCACAAGCCGGAAAACGGTTGAGCAGGAAATACGCGTCAGACCCTATCATGGACCGGAATTCCTGCACAAAAGACGGAACTGGCTGAAGTTACCGCAAAAAGGCTGTTTGCGATTCATGCGCCCAAAACTCGGATGATATTAAGTAATGTGTTTTATATTGCAGAAATATGGTAATAAATATATACTTCTTCGCACGTTTTCATTAAAACTTTAAGACAGGCAAGTGAGTTGAAAGTAAGCAAAATTGAAGACGACACGTCAATTGGTCCAGTTTCTAGACATCACGTAGACATGTAGAACCCATTAAACAATAGCTGTTGTTGAAAGATATCACTGAATTGAACAGTACCACGGCACAAAGCTCTGGCAGTCCTATGGTAGCTTAGTAAAACAAAATTAAGCATGTTCACAGTATTCATATAATACTAGAAGTTACAATCAAACAACTTGCACAAAATAGACTTTTAGAAGTCGATTTTTTATGCCAGGAAAGATTCGTGATTGTCCATAAAAATAGAAGCTTTTGCCATTCACAGGCGATTAGGTTTATATTTGGGAGACGTAGCAAAATGTAATGTTTACTAATCGGATCTTTTTAATGATACCTCTGAACCACTGTGCGCTTACAAAACTTACTTCGTGACACCAATTTTATCCATGTAAAAACTATCGTAGATAGACATTTCTTATTAAACACACTAAGATCACTTTAAAAAACATTGACAGACGCATATGAGTAATCATAAAAATGAAAGACTAATTACAATGTTAAGCAATTTTGAAATAGGCATATGTGGTGTCTTGAGCATCATCGCACGCCAAGTCCACGAATTCTAGGTGACTCTACAGAGAACAAAATGTGAGACATCAATTTTGACTACACTCCAACCCAGCTACGTAAAGAAATTTTGGGATATGATGGGCGTAGAGTTTACCATATGCTGCAAAATATGAAGATATGTTGGACAAGGTATATGTCGTAAATTGCTAAATGTCGTGACGACGAACGCGGCAAAAATCACTCCAGAAAATCTGGCACTAAGGGATCAAACCGCCTTTGAAATGTATCAAGTCCCCCAGCATACGGTAAAAGCTATGCTGCTGCCTTAAATAATTATTAGCTTGCATGTTTAAAATAAATTCACAAACTTAAAACATTTTTGTAACAAAAAAAAATGAGATCCCAAAGGTTGCGGATATAGAAGCCTTCTTACAAAGGATTGATCCTTCCCCAACGTCTCACTTCGTGAAAATTTAAGAAATATTATATGTTAAAACTAAGCGGCAAGGATTCTCGAATGTTCGAACTTGTAGAACTAACTCAGAACTGCGAACTAAACAAGGCAAGTTTGTCTTATGCTCAAAAGGATTAAAATAGGCTCATTTGTAATTACTGAAATGCCCGCAGACCAAACCTAGTTGATGATTTACAAACAGTACGGCAATGATCACATCTAATTTTAGGGGACACAATTACATGCCCACTCTTTGAAGGTTGTAACCGTAACTCCATAGTTTATAAGTACTTTTATTAAGTTGTCCGAGACCATGTCTTCTGGTGATTCATCGCTGGCATAAGCAATTGTTTAAATTTATTTTTTTCAACACTATACTTTTTAAAGTAGTTTATGAAGTTTGACTCACGATTGTATGGCCAAATACCAGGATGTGTTCGCAGGATGATTTAGTATATGTGAACAAACCCAGTTAAACGACAGCGATATGTACTTCATTAAGGTAATCAGAAATCGCAGCAAACAACAGTTACGACAAAACATGAATTAAATTCCTCTAATTTAACCTATTTTGAACACCAATGAATTTTCATAATGAGGTGCACAGTGGCTTGAAAACTACTTGTTACATAGATTAAGGAATGGTGCGTATTTGGGCAGTAAACACATTAATTGTATCCTCACATATTCTAAAAATGTGTCTGAATAAAATAACTTAAGCATAAGACGCAATGCTAGTTGATTTGGTTGAATACTTGTTAATATCACTCTAATCTTATGAGTTGTTTAATTGAAAGAAACATACAATATTATCATTAAAATTACTAAATTTATTTAGTGAGTTTTTTGACATCGTTTTCTTAAAATTTGCATAATAGTAGAATTTAGGCCTTTTCTTGTTGTACAAATGCTTCACTGATCCAAATATCAAACCTCAACGGTGATCAGCTGCAGCCGCCTCTTTCGAAGTGAATATTATTATTTGATTGGTGAACGTATGGGTATATGATTGGCTGATATTTTAGTTGTGTTCCCATACTCTCATCAAGTAAAGACTTCCAAGTTGTATGGGAATCAGGGCTTTTTGCTCGATCTACACTCTGTTATTGACTCTTGTTATCCTGCATTCTTTCCTACATGATTTGAGAAGTACAGTTTCAGCACATTTCACCGAAGGCGTACACAAGTAAGTGAAACATTAAAGCCTATTCGCAAATATTAAAGAGACGTTCTTATAGTGAGGACAGTTGATGGTCGGTTGAACGGACTAGATGCCTTAAGCGGCAAACTGCTTTGGACCATCAAAGACGAACCCCGTGTTTCGCAGAATATAAGCAACTTAGAGGTACATACCCATGAAATTAACCCTGCAGTTTGTTTCAAATGATTCCTCATTTAGATTTATACCTTCTGTTGATGGAAGCCTGCACGCAGTAGAGGAAATAAAACACAATGACGCGTCTCGGAAGCCAAGCGAAGCCCGTGTCAATGTGGTTTCCGTCTCACCAGACGAGTTACTCTCATCGGGTTTTCGCCTAAATCCAGACGAAGTTGTTGCCGGTGGTCGTTTCAGCTCATTTTACTCCTTCGATCCAATGACTGGAAATGTTTGTTTAATTTGCGCAATTTTTTATCACTGTCTCTTAGATTTTATACAAATGTTCGTCGGGGGGATGTACTAGCAACGCAAACAAAAGTACAAATGCCGACGTGCCAAGCACTCGGCTGTTAGTTAAGCAGATGCATTACGAATTTCGTGGAACCAGTCCTGTGTCGCAAGTCGAGCGCTGGGGCTATCGCGTTCTTTCAGATGAAATACTGGTTGTGCCAACTCATCAATCCCTTCAAACGGTTAACGATTTCGGCACTACAAATGTGAGTTATCATTCCCCTGTACCTTTTACGTGTTCTTCCTGGTTTATGCATGTGTTTGGTTTTTAAACCCAGGGTTTGCCGGCAGAATCGGTCTTCCAGTTTGATGACGGTCTTCCAGAATTAGAATTCCTGTTTAATATCAAAACCGGTTTGGTCTGTGCATCCCACTTTTCAAACAACCCCGTTGAATTTTGGCGAACTTCGCTTAATTCCTCAATCATAAAGGCGTGGATGTATCGAGGCCATGGCAATGAACTTCAGCCTGTACATGTCATTCGAAGTAAGCTTTCATATTCTAACGCAGTTTAATGCTGGTTCCCATTTCTACTTGTTGCCTCTTGTAACTTTAGGAGACTATGCTGCTGTGATTAGCTTCTTTGAAGGTCCGTTCAGTGGCTACAAACGACCTGGAAAGGAGACTCTTCACGTCGCCAATTCCAACGCTCTCCAAGTCGTGCGCCCCCTTAAGTTAGACGCGGACAGTCAGCTTGTTTACCTCGGTAACCACGACGGTCAACTTTATATTCAGTCTGAAGGACCCACTTGTCGAGGCTCGGTTGTCAACGCGAAGTGGTTGTCCGTTTTCGATTACGCAAGCAAGGACTACAAGCCAGTCGAAAAACCCTCACCCAACTACATAGGCTTCTACTTCACGACCGCAGACTCAACTTCAACGACTCCCACTACTACAACCACCACCATTACGAATCGGGTGCCGAAAAACCTGCTTGAGGCTTGCTGGAATGGTAACTGTAAGGGTCCGCGTCGGTCTGGTGTGAACGGTGGTGAAGTGACTCCAGCGCATCTCAACAGGGATGGGCGAGATAGTTACCGAGACATCTTCATAAACATGGCGCACGCGTCGCCTTTCGAAAGTGACTCTCTCGGCCACTTCCAGCAGATTGTGGTTGGTTATCACATCCTGACTTGGTGTCCCCAGTTCCTCGCTCTACTGGTTTTACTCATGACTTTAGTTCAGTCGATCTGGTGCGTGAAGAGGCGTGGGTAAGTTTTCGTGACCGCTAAATGCTAATCGCGCGCCTTCTTCTCCCTTCCCGTGTCTTCTCCCTTCCAGAAACATCAGACGACGTCGACGACCCTCGGCTCTTCCTTCCACACCTTCAAAGCCCGAGGAACCAGTCTCTGTCGCGACACCGGACCTGTCTACCCCACTGCCTGTTAATGCTACCCCGCCGGAGTTTGTTTCTACGTTCGAAAGTGAATTCAAATTCATCGACGTCATTGGCAGCGGTGGTTTTGGTCGAGTGTTTGAGGTGGAAAATCGCTTCGACGGACATCGGTATGCAGTCAAGCGAATACGTCTTCGAGCTGGGGATGAATCGCAAAAGAAGTTCCTCCGTGAGGTCACTAGTAAGCGCCCGGTCGACTGCTCTTCCTTTTTTTCCATTTAGAACCTAAAAGTAATCCCCATTCACACTGCATTTGTTCAGCTAACTTCCGCAATTCACTTCCTCCTTTAAAATATCTCACTCTCTGATGGTTGCATCTGCAGTGAAAGTCCAGTTACTTCTGACATCAATTTGTGAGGTGGAATGGTGTCTCTCGGTCCAGGGGCACCATAAAGTCAACGTGACCACTGGCACCAAGTCGAGCTCTCTTGTTTGAACTGATGGTGTGTTCCACGTTCGCCAAGGCATTTGCGCATGGTCTCTAATTCTGTAAGAGCAGTCGTGTAGCTCCCCCTCTCCCTTCAAAGTAATCGACACCAGCTCACGCGTCCCAGAACCTGCTAAAAGTTCACTGTTCTCGATGGCCTATGGAGGCTGCCCCTTTGCCCAGCCCTGTCATCCCCTCCTCCTCCACCTCCACCCATTAACGCTTTGTTTTCGCCTTGACAGCCATGGCCGACCTAGATCACCCGGGCATCGCGCGGTATCACCGTGCGTGGGTTGAGTGTCCGCCTGAGGGCTGGCAGGAGGCAAGAGACATCAGCCTCTTCGCTGACTTCGCTGATGATTCGTTGGACGACACTACCTCCAGCAAGTTCTCCACTGAGGTCGGTCGTTTTGGCGACTCCTCCAATCCCCTTCTTCCTCGGCTTCTAAGCAGGTAGGTGTCGCTTATTTGCTCAAATTCCCGCAATGCTGACAAGTCAACCGACTTTAACGAACATCGTTTCAACTTCCAACTTGCCGTCGCTCACAGTCAAGACGTCTTGGAAAGCACGAGCAGCCTTCGTGGGCCCGCTTTCTAATCAGAATTGGATTTTCAGATGTTTTTTTCCGTTTTCTACGTTAGCTCAATGTGTGATTCCCTGCGCGGTCCGCAGCCCATCTGTTCAATCTCCTTCCACGGTGGTACCGACACCAACCATCAGCTGACAGACAGCGAGACGTCGGCTAGCAGCGTTGCGACGGTTTCCAAGTTGCCCGGCCCAGCGGTCTGCTACATGTACATCCAAATGCAGCTGTACTCGCGTCACAGCCTTCGCGATTGGCTCTGGAGCCACAGGACGGTTGAGTCGCGTCAGCCCCGCACCACCGTCTACGACATGTTCTGCCAGATTGTCGATGCCGTGGCTTACCTCCACGACCTCGGCTACATCCACCGCGACCTCAAACCCTCCAACATCCTCTTCGACGCCAGGTCCAACGTGAAGCTCGCCGACTTCGGTCTGGTCACCACGAGCTACACGTCCGGCGATGGCAACAATGTCGACGCTGCACGCGGGTTCGACGATGGATTGATTGAATTCCTGCCGCGCACAAATGGCTTCACCTCGTCGTCAGCGTCGTCGACTCCACAAGGTGACGAAGGCGTCTCGGTGTTGCATCAGAAGGCGAAGGAAGGCCACACGCGCCAAGTCGGAACGGATCTCTACATGAGTCCTGAACAGGTTGGTGGTTCCACTTTGGTGTGTGTGCATGTTAACCACTTGAATGGCCTCTTCATCATTCATCATGTGACCCTGTCTGAAAAGAAGCCCACCAATCACAGCGCGACAACTGAAAAACACTTAAGAGTCCACTCGAGTACTTGATATCTCAAATCAAAAGTGTCGAATACATCGATCATCTGGAGGTACAACTATTCAGAATTTGTTAAAGTTTGCGTATGTTAACAAGGACTTGCCCTAGTTGGTGGCAGAGGTTAACGCACGGCCTTGATACCAGTGACTGCGCATTTAACAAGCGAGTGAACGCGTCCTCATTTCGACCATAGATTGAACACGAAGAGAATAGTTGAAGAAAAAACATGTTTTTTTTAATAAAATGTTGACTAGCTCTGCTTTTCGATTGAGCTTTTGCCAATACCTGCTGTGTGTCTGTCTGTGTGCGTGTTGCTGTGCGTCGTTATGTGATGTACTTGGTTGTACCATAATTGTCACTCGTGTAACCGTGACAGCCAGCATTCAAAACACATGAATAGAGTGCGTGTGTGTGTGTGATAAATCGCTTATTGTCGGACATTGCGTTCACATTTAAGTTGTCGCAACTCCCTGTGGCGACCATTGCCACCGAAAGGACAAATAAACACGGAAATGGACGATGGCGGGACTTGAACACGGAACTTGCCTACTGCGCAGCCCTGACTTTATCGCCAAGTGCGTGCGTGCGTGTGTGTGTGTGTATTTGTTGGTTTGCAAGCTGCCAATCAGAATTCACCATCGATCTGCCCAGAAACGAAGACTCTTTTGTCGCAAGGCTTATGGCCTCCTTGTGAGATTACGCGGCCAGCATTCTCACACTTCCCACGAATGCTTGGAT